TATAATTCACATTTTGCGCAGTATATTTTCATGTTTGAAGTGTGTTTAATATAAGAGTGAAATGGGAATATCTCTCGGAAGAGAAAATTTAGCAACAGAACCACAACGTCGGAAACGACCAGGCCTATTACTAGACCAAGTTGAAGCAAGACGATGACGTAATAGACAAAGTTATCTGAGTGCCTCATATGAAAGGCTTGAACAAATAAGACTGCAATCTAGAAATTAAAGAACCTGATTAATGAAACGGTTGTTTTGGCCCCGGGACCAGTTTTGTCTAAATGCAAATAAATATTTAATTTTTGTGAATTATTAAAACGTTTAAAAGAATTAACCGCTCATAAATTTACTAACTTACGTTGATTTACCTCATTTCCCAGTAAAGATGGAACAGAACATATATAAATAAATACACATTGATAATTACTATATGGTTGGGTGAGTAGTTTTGTAATAGACGATATAATGTATGATACAGAAATCCGACGGTCCATAATAATAGCTAAAAATGATTTCTAGAATCTACATAAAGTATTCGGAGATATCTTTAACAACACAGGAAAATGTATTGAACATCTCTGCAGCATCTGATCTAATATTGAATCGAATGCTAGACACTCACCTGACAGATAACGAATCTACTGAAGAATGCTGAAGATAACTTTGAGAAAAGTTGGAACAACAAAGAAAATGGAATACCTAATGAGGAAAGGGAGTTTGTGACAATTTAAAACTCACTGATGATATGTACGCAATACTAGCAGGCGTAAACAGTGATAAATCCTCTTAACGATGCTGTGTGAATGGGTGAATGGGTACCGTCGTAATAAGAATCGTATTTCGTATCCAGAAGGCAAATTATATGATTAAAGCTATTCGCCGATCTACCGTGCTACGGGCGTGAAAGATCATGGTTCTCCCCAATTTCCTGTCATTTGTAAGTCTTAGTAATAGTTTTTTTCTATCATTGCTACTGTCTATTGTGCCAACCATATATACATGATTTTAAGTAAGTTATTCGTTGCTTTCATAATATCCCTCTTGCCTTCAATATGCATTCACTGCCATATATGATAACCGATATTACATAGTTTGCCACACTTTTCCTTGTCTTCTAACGAAATGTTCTTGTTTCTTAATACATGGCTTAAATTTTGGAAGTTTTCTTTCCCTATCGAAATGCTCTTCGCATTTCGACGTCGCATTTCCCATCTCCCGATAAAAACACATCCTTCATATTTAAATGTAAACAAATGTAAATGTGCGCGAAACATCTTACACTTCTGAATCACGAGCCAAATATAATGCATGAAAAAAGAGGGACACAGAGAGAGAGAGAGAGAGAGAGAGAGAGAGAGAGAGAGAGAAAAGGAGTTTTGAGAATGATAGTCTTCCCCTTAGGTGGAGATTGCTCCGAAAATGTTGCTTGGTTACTGTTGTGGTAGGATCCACCTAATTTGCATAGTGGAGTACCGACCATATAAATATGGTTGGTACCGGGAAGAGAGGGAGGAATCAAGAGATTCACTCTCAGTCGAACTCTCTGCATTTTGCAGTGAGGGACCCGGACGAGGCTTTGCCGAGAGTCAGGGTTTCGTCCGGGGTGGTAGACAGGCCTTGAACCCGTCTAGGCGGGTTCAGAAAGGCCATATTTTTGGCCGAGCCTACGAGATACCCACTTTAAACCGGCCTTGTGCCACATTTTATCCTCATGGGTGGATAGATAAATACAGGAATCAAGAGATTGAACTAAAGACTGCCCGACTGCGACTCAGTCAACACATTCTCCAGGAACGGTCTTCCCAGGAATATACAAAAGACTATATGTAAATATTGTGTACACTTTGTTGTTTCAATACATTTTGTTCTAAGTACATTTTGTGTTGCATTATTATTCCATGCATTAGTCAAGTTTCAACAGTTACCAGTTTTCTTTTCTTGTCAGTTTATTTCATGCAGTCCACTGATCAGAGGATACCACAAGAAGAAAGCGTCTGGAATTATTAGTCCATATGACTTTATCTTGTAGTATTTACCGACGGTATGGGATATATCTAGATCTTGCCTAGTAGACAATTAGAATTGTAAATCATTACTAATCTGTAATGAGTTTAATTTAATCTGCACAGAGACAGGATTATAAGAGAACTGGATGACTGACTAGAATTTATTATCTATGAATGTGGAAGGTCATAAATTGGTACGCATTTACATATGCACATAAGGCTGTCGACTAAACTTAGTTTAGCACAAGACTGAACATATATATTTATACTTTATCATTATTATTATTGCGTGTCGTAAGATCTTGCTAGAGAGTAATTTTATGTGCCTAATTACCAAGTCCCTTCGGGGTCTCTGAGTAAAAAAGAGCGCTGTAAGAGAGTTATCTATGCATATTTGAATGTTTCGTTTAGATAGAGACAGTTTTTCCGAACATGTGTGCAATTCAGCAGAAAGCAGGGTCTTATAGCTCTGTGATGCTGTTATCCAGGAATTTTGCTCACATGATTTTCGGTATCCTTCATTATCATTAGCAATAATCATATCACAAGCGGAATAATCTTAGTTTTAAATTTTTACATTTTTGTTACTTCGATGTACAGGTCCTTATTATTTGAAACTTTTTTAAATTGTACGCAAGTCATAGTAAGTAGGTTACATTTTTGAAATCCTTTATTACTACGCCTGGTATATTTCCCCTTAATTTTCTGTGAGGATTGCGAAATTCCTCAGTATACTCACTCCATTTACAATATGTGACATCATTCGGGACTGTTTGTACAATATATCCGGAACTTCAATGGGATAATTCGAACAGATATTCCAATAAATTAAATATATTTTCCTAATATGTCATATAATCTGTTGTATTTCCTGCGTAGCAGGATTTCCTTCAATGAGTCTTTCGGGACATTTTCCAATCAATTCGAGCTCCGACTACAACTAGAATTACTGTAGTCTTCATGTGCCACATTTTTAGATTTGCGCATCAGTATCTTTGTATTTTGAGAGATTTTTGAAGAGCATCAATGATACATTAAAATCTGTAGGGACCGCCCTGTGAATAAGAAAGTGCATACTGTTTTGCGGTCTTTGATCACGATATCTGGGCGATTAGCTTTGGTTATTCTCTGTGCATTGTAAAGTCCCAATGTTACATGTTTGATCTCTGTAACTGGGTCTAGCATGTCATTTTTAATGATGTATCCCTTCACAGTAAGGATTTGGCACCTTGATATTATGTGGTCAACAATTTCAAAATTATTCTATGAGCAACCGGCGGATTTTGTGTCATCTTTAGGCTTGCAGGCATTAGTTGGAAAATACTGGTCTTGTGCTGACATAATAAAGTCTTCTTTCTACCCCTTAAGACCACTGCCTGTAAGCAATTGATGGGTTTGGCGAATATCCATGTCTGGTTCAGCCAGATGTTTTGGGTATTTTCCATACACGAGTTTAATTCAAGCGTCTTCATATAAGAAGCTGTTGTCAGTAATTTAATTTTTCATTGCTGCAGCAGTGAGGAATTCGGGATATTTGCCATTTTGAGAATCTATTAAATATGGACAATTTTCGGATTGCATGGCTTTCTTTTAGTGATATTAATATTATTTCCTTTGTCTTTTCTTGTATACATATTTATTGTGGATCTCAACCAGAGACCAAAGGTTAGAAATGTCGTCATAACATTTTCCACTGATCCCTTTTATAAAAATAAATAAATTAAAAAAACAAAAAAACAAACTTACATCCCACATATTTTACATAGAAAAACCTCTTCGTAACGTGTGCGCTGTACTTGTAAGTATAATTTTTTTTTATTTCTTTAAGGCGTACCAGGATTTCCTTCACTGAGTCCATTGGAACAACCAGAATTACTGATGTGTTCATGTGTCACATTTTTTTTAGATTTCCACTTCAAGATCCTTGTATTTCGATTTTTGAAGCGCTTCAAAGATACATTCAAATCTGCAGGGACTACCATGTCAATAAGAAAGCATATACGGTTATTATGGCCTTGATCACGATATCTGGGTGATTAGCTTGGATTATTCTGTCTCTGTGTATTGTAAAGCCCCATTGTTATAGGTTCAATCTCTGTAACCTGGTCTGGGTGGTGTTCATAACAGTTTTTTGCAGTTTCCTTCCCGTAAATGTTGTATATTTTCCAGTGGAGATATTGACCTACTCCATCATGCCGAGTTTTATATTCAATGGGTGCTAATATCATGCAACATGATACAAGATAAGCAATTATTTCTGGATTTCCGACTAACATTTCTAGTTAGCAAGCATTGACTATTAGCAGCAAGAATAAAACCTTCTGTTCAGTTTTATTATTATTATTTTCTTTGATTTTTGGCGTTTACACATTTCTTTCCGGGTCGCGTCCAGGTACCTAAGGTTAGAAATGGCATCATGACACTTTCCACTGACAAAAAAAAAAATTACATAGATAAAGCCCTTCGTAAAGTGTGGACTGTACTTGTCAGAACATTTTTTTGTATCTCCTTGATGCATGGATTACAGGAATCCCTTCAATTAGTCTACTGCAATCTTTTCCAACCAGTGCTAGGGCTCCAACTACAACAGGGATTGTTGATGTTCTCATATGCCACATTTTCGAGGTTTCTATTTCAAGGTCTTTGTATTTTGACAGATTTTTGAATATCTTCAAAGATACATTGCAGTCAGCAGGGACTGCACTATCTATCAATAAGGAGGCACTGTTTTTGTTTGTTGTCTTTAATAACAATATCTGGGCGGTTGGCTATGATTGTTCTGTCAGTGTGTATTGTGTCGTCCCATAGAATTGTAACAGGTCCTATCTCCGTAACCGTTATAATTATTATTATTATTTGTGTTATGTTTCCGGCTTTGTATCCTGTAGAAACGGGTCCAAACTGTAGCACTTAGGTCTTATCGGAGAATTGTCGTTTAACGTTTCTTAATAGATGGGATGTTCCTAGTAGGGCGATCTTCTGGGCAATTTGTATGTTGATGTTACCTGCGACACTTAGTAAAATTGTCCATTCCTTTTCTCACGAGGATCAGAGCTACGATTACTACTGGTATAGTTTCAGTCGACATTCCCTCAATCCTGTTAATCTCGATCTCCAGGTCCTTTTATTTGGAGAAATTCTCGATGATTTTTATGAAGGTGTACTCCGAGGGTACTGCTATGTCAATAAGCATACACTTCCTTTTCTTTTATGATAATATCATGTCTGTTGGCTTGTATTTCCCTGTCAGTCTGAATTGGCATGTCCCAGACAATAGTTACGTTATTATTTTGGGTAACTGTGTCTAGTTGGCGCACATAGCATCTCTCAGTGGATTCGAGTTTTTACTTCTTGCATATCTTCCTGTACACATATGTTGCTACCTTCTTATGTCTTTGGCTATATTCATTTTTTTACCAGTTCCGGACATCCTGAGATAATATGGTCGACAGTTTCATCATATTTTCCGTAGATCCTGCGTTTAAGTTAGTTCTACGCTTGATTATGCGACAGTGATAGAATCTGGTTGCGAGGCTTTCGTCCTGAGTTGCAATAATTAGGTTTTTTTGTTTCCCGGTGCTCCTCAGCCACTGATGTGTTTTCTGTTGGTCCACATCTGCTTCTATCCGTTCTTTTTCATGTATTTGGCATACAACGCCTTGTCCTCCCTGTTTTTTTTTTATAACTTCATTTGGCCAAGTTATTTTGCTTTCTATTTTACTCGTTTGACGCATATGGTATTCGCTTCGTTTTTATTGGTAGGATTTCAGGTATATTAAACTGTTTCTTAGAGAGTGCAGCTTCTTTGTTGATGCAGCGGATTTGGTGTGTTGCTATTTGTAAGAGAGGGTCATTGGTTTTTTGTGAGGTAGGCTTCCAGTTCAATGTTATTATTATTATTATTATTATTATTATTATTAAATTTTGTCTCTGCTTTGGTTTTTGTATTAGTTTTCCCAAATCTCAACCAATGATATCAAGAGACAACACGGTTTTGTATCAGCAGTCAATGCTTATTTCTAATATCGTAAAATATACCTGGTAGTTTCAAATACTTTACAAAACTCATAAGAGAAAGTTGGATTGTCTCTGTGATGGCCCGTGTCGTTTAACTGGGTTTATTTTTTAATTTTCTTCTTCTTCTTCTTCTTCTTCTTCTTCTTCTTCTTCTTCTTCTTCTTCTTCTTGCTGTCTTCTTTCACAAGGCTGGCTATCATGGCTCTCCCCGATTTTCTCTTCTTTGTAGCTCTCAATGAATCAGTTTAGTAACGTCGATCCACACGGAGTGTCCCTGTATTGTGATCTTTTTAAGATTGTGATCAAGGTTGTTGTGGGATATGTATTGTCTTCCGTTTTCTAACCCATTCGGTATCAAGTTGGCGAATGCTGACTTTTCAGGCGAAACTGCTTAATTTCATCTTGTGCCAAACAAGGCTAAGTTTGACAAATATCAATAAATAAAAGTTTATATTTTTAAAAACTATTACGTATTACTCATCTAAAATAAGCCGTATGGAATTGAAGAATTGAATTAATGTATTCATGAACAAACCCCATTTATAGACATTAAGTCTATGCCCAAATTTGAGAAAAGAGAAGGTTGCATAAAAACTTAAAATTACGTTCAAGATATATTCTGATAAATACAGACATTTATTTTATTTTATTTTTAATTTTATGTTATGTTCTTACAATTTTTCTAATATTTTTTCCTTTTTAATTTTAACGTTATTCTTTTCCCGTTGGACGAATTCAAAATTTCCTTTTGAAGAATATTCATACAAAAACCCATAAAAGAATATTAATTAGATAAAACATTAAAATTACATAAGAAAATTGTATTCAGTCATTTACGCTTCAAATTATGATATAATGATGGTTAAAAAGAATATCGTATACAAGTATAGATTATTAAATCCAAGGAAAATATTTTTTGCGTTTTTACATAAAATACAGATTAGAGACGAAACCATTAAATACGAAAGAAATCGAAGCCTTTTTTTCTGTGCGATATCTGATCTGCTGTCTGACTTAGCTCGCATAGGTCAATGAGGAAGCGACTGGTTTGTAAATTCAATATGGCTAAAGCAAAGCAAATAATATTACGTCATCACACAGTAAACTCTTAGTTTTCTCCAGTCATGATAAACGGTGGTAATTTCAAAGAGGTCACTTGAGCGAAATGTCTGTTAAAATTAAAATGCACTCTAGAATATATGACTGTGCACGACTGGCAAAGATTCCAAAGTTTCAGATGAGACGAAAAATTAAGTACTGCTCTCATATCTGAACTTGACCTAACTTTCCCGCTATGGCAGAGAGTAAACAATATTACACGACCTTGTAAGTAAGGTTTTTCCACCTTACATTGCCATAAATGATACATTCTTACATTCTTCAGATGAACAACATTCCTTACTTCCCCCAGTTTGGATCTTCACTTCTATGACATCCTCATTCCTTGTTTGACTGGTAAGAAGAAAGTTCTACTCAGACAGCTTCTTCCTCGAAACTGTTGCATTCTCCAACTGACTAGAAAGAGGTTATTGCTCCCATCGCTACAATCTTAAACTCTTCATGACTAATATCAACCGTTATCTTTTCTACAAATTCTCAAATTATACACCTCTTAATCTCTACACCCTCACACTCTCCATTGAGCTTTAAATTAAACGAACAATAGTATGGAAAATGTATTCTCTACTAACTGAGTTTAGTTTTTAGACATCTTTCAAATATAAAAGTATGCATTTTATGTCAAAG